GGGCCGGGCCAGCGCCGGGAGGCGGTGGTGGCGGATGGCCGGAAAATGTATTGTGTTGTTGGGGAAGAGATTTGAGGTCCATGCCTAAAAAAAAAAATGGGAGTTGGTGTGTGAAATGAACATTGAGTTAAATAAGCCAAGTAAATGGTACTATGTTAGTGATTTTATTCTAACTTGTTGTAGAGAAAAGCAAAGGCGGAGTTAGTTGTTTTTTTTTTCTTTTTCAAAGTAAGGCTTTTGCTGACGTGGAAATAAAGGAGTTGTTCTACAGATAAATTGATTTGCAAATTGGTCCTCCAAGATTATCGATATTGAAATTTGTGTGAGCTTTGTGATGAACAAAAAGTTGCGTAATCATATGTTTAATTTATTAATACTTGTTTTATAATGCAAGTAATAATACTTAGATTATTAATAGAAATGCACAGAAATGCTATGAAGCCATTAGATGGTTTCCTTATGGAGTCATCCATAACTTTATGTATTGACACGTGTCTAATGTTTATTTATTACATGACGTCCGTCAATACAACATTTGTGAATAACTACAGATGACTCCATAAGCCGAGCCGTTTGATGACTCTATATAGCAAAACCGATGAAATGCGTATATTGTGTAATAAAGTGTGAGAAATATGGGCACCTCTGATAAAAAAAGGTCAATAATAAAGATCGAGAAGTGTATCTTAGTTGGTAAAAATTTTAAATCAAATATATATTGTCAAATTTATGTCAATGGTCTAAATATATTATAATGGCTGGCAGACAAAGGCAAACCTAAAGTCCAAATTAAGTGGATAAAAATTGATAATTGATTAATTAATTATGCACGATTCGCGGGATATCTAAAATTTCTCATATGTTCCTGCTTTCGGCTGCAGCTTATTTTCACCGTAATGTGTATCTAATCAATAAAGCCTAATAAAATAATTATTCCGTAAAAGTCCTAGTTTTGTTAAGTGTAGTGAGCCAACCAATGTTTCGAGCACATGTTAATATGTTCATTGTTTATATGGCATGCATACATTGGTGATATTAATATGTAAAAAAAATACATTATCAATGTGTACATACAACATAAGCGGTGAGCATATTAACATGTGCCCACCGTGGGTAGGGGAGCATTACTGGTAGTGAGCCCGTAATAATCTCACGTGTTACAAAATAATTGAAATATTGGATAATCAAGAGATAAAAAGTTATGGGAGCTTATACTATAGAAAAATAACACATTATTTTACTGTAGAAAAGTATGAAGTTCTTGCTCGGTTTTTTTGCTATCATCTATTTCTCTTTATATTTTTTTTAATTTATGCAAATGTTTATTTATTATTTTATGAGAGTAAGAGCCAATCTTTTCTTTTTTTTTTTTCTTAAA